TTGTATCTTTGAGTTGAGCATCAAATTTTGTTCGAGGTATGGACGAATAGGTTGGATAATCGATACCTGGTCTTCCGGGCGTACTTGTTGTTTCTGATTTTTGAGGTAAAATTGAAAGTTTACGATTTTTTTTATTTATTTCTTGTGCAGAACTTATTGATGGTTGTTTCAAAGAAGAAATCTATGAATAAAAAATCTCAAAGTAAAAATTTTTATTATTTTTTAAATAATAAAAATGAATTTACTTACAGTTCTCTGTGATGCGATCGATTGTGCCTGTTTTTCCTTTTGCAGTCGCTCAAGTATGAGAGTTAAAGTTTTTATTCCACTGTCAATGTTTTCGGGCGTGACTATTTTTGGCAAATTATCTGTTTCTTTAAGTATAGACAAATAATTTTCAGCTTTATGAACTCCTAGTCCATCTATTTCTACGTCGTCATCATCATCATCATCATCGTAATTTGTGTCAGTTTTTGTTGTTGTGGATTCGAACGAGGTGATAGTTTTTGAATTCGGTGTAACATTAACAATAAATTTTATTTCGTTTTTCTGTGGTACCCGAAGACGAGGTCCTCCCTCATCAGTACTACCACTACTACCATGATGATGAATGTAAAAATTTTCATTTTGTGTTTGTGCAGCTTTTTCGTTATTCACATTCTCTGCTCCATTTTTAAAAAAAACTTGTTTAACGGGTATCAAATTTAAAGTTTTTACGTGACGGTCATCGTAAGAATAATCCTGAGTTATTTTTAATGTGTCAGGTTTTGTTATTTGTTTTTCATCATCATCATCATCATAATATTTTGCCACGGGGTATTTACTTACAAAAATGGATTTAGTTATTGGAAAATTATTTCCTTTATAAAGAGTTGTGTAAATGTTTGGCTCTTGTAAATATTCTCGAGGGGGAACGGGATTGTATAAGGTTTTTTTATTGTTATCAAATATTTGACCTGGTATCGGTGCGGGTGTGATTAAAATATAATTTTTATTTTCTTGAATTTTCAAAGATGATGATGATGATGATTCGGTTGGTTCTATCAAATGAGATACGTATAAATTGTTGTTTTTGTCAGGTGAAAAAATTCTTATTTGCGATGGGGATTCATGAGTGGAACGTTTTACTATTTTCGATTTAAAAAGGCTTCGGCTGCTGTCGACATCTGAGAAATTTGATGATGCCTTTTATATAAAAATAAATTTTCAATAAATAAATTTTTTTTATGAATATTCATTATAAGATAAGAAAATATTTTTTACCTGATCTTTGTTAAAAAATTTCGTATTGGGAGAAATATTTTTAGTTATTACTTTATAATTTTTTATCTTTTGATTTTCTCTTGATTTTTTATATTGAATTTTTAAAAGTCTGAAAAAAAAACAATATTAACAATATTTTTATTATTATTATTCTGTTACAAAATGTATGTATAGACAAATGTGTTAGAATGTAACAAATAAATTCTTACTCTGATGATTTTATTTTAGGTATGGAGCCGTCATTTTGTTCTAGATAATCCGCACTAATATTTTTTTTATTTAAATTATTTTTTTTAACTATTGTAGGTGTTTGAATATGATCTAAGGACGCATTTTCAATAGTTAACGGCACTGAAAACAAAAAAACATTAATAGATAATTTTTTTTTTGTCCGATAAATGATTAAGCGAAAAAATGAGTTCAGGTATAAAAACAAAATAATAATAATAATTAATTTTTTATGTAAATGCTCGAGTGTATCTTTTGTGGTTTTGTTATTTATAAAATTTTCCGATTTCTTTTATGTTTTCCTCATTTAAATCTCTTGACATAATAATAATAATAACAACTTCGACAAATACACGGAAGCTTGTTTAAAAGTGAAAATAATAATGATAATACTTTACTAATTAAAATTTTTTTTTCCAGCATCTCGACTTGTAATCGCGTTTTTATTATAATTTTAAACAAATTTAAAAAATCCGAAATAAATGTGGGCGTGTCAATTTTGTTAAAACAAAGAGCAAATTAATTTTTTTTCCTCAAAAATATATAAAAAAAGTTTTTGTTATTAAATAATTACGCGATTGGCGTCCGTGAGACGGTTTTTTTTTTTGCTAGTGTTCCTATTTATAACGGTTTTTTTTTTTTTTTAAGTTGATTTAAATTTTAACCTTGATTTTCTGTCCCCAAGCCGTGTGAAATCACAACAAATCCTTTTTCATTTATTTAAAAATCAAAAAAAAAAAATTATTATTATTAATTTTTCAACTTTCATTAAAATCAGTTTTAATCGAGAGAAAATTAATTTGTTATATAATTTTTATTGAAAGCCTTCGATGAAAAATATTTTTAAAAAAAACAAAAATAATAATAAATTTTTTTTATAGTTTTTAATTTTGAGAAGAAAAAAAAAATCCTAAACGATTTTTTTTTACCCTTGAAAATTTTTAAGAAAATTTGTAAATTTACGAAGCTTAAAACAATCTAAAAAAAAAAATTTTTTTTTTTTTTACGTTTTTTTGTAAAGAGAAAGTTTTTAACTTTTTTTTTTTTTTTTTTAAGGAAGCAATTTTAAAATTTTATTTTACCATTTATATTATTACACAATAAGTATTGGGCGTATTTAAGAATAGCACGAATAACAAAAAAAGAAAAAAAAGAAAAAATTTTTTTTTTTTTTTAAAGAGTAAAAGTAAATAAAATGACATAGCAGTTGTTATTGAAAATAATTTTTTTTTTTTTTTTTTTTTTTTCACCGCTTAACCTTTTATTTATTTATTTATTTATTTTTTTTGAATGTTAAGTTTTAATAGGGTAAAAAAAAAAAAAAAAAAAAATCAAGAAATATTTTGTGAGCCAATTATACGAAGCAAAAACTTTCTTATTTCAAGGTCTTTGTTATGGTAAAAAAACTATAATAAAGACTTAAAATTTGTCCTTTGAATATCAAAAAAAAATCAATTAAATGTTATTTATTTATTTACAAACAATAATAATATTTATATAATATTATATTTTATTTATATATATACACACACACACACACACACATATATATATTAACGTATTTTTCGTGAGAAAATTTGAAATTTTACACTTTTAATTTATATAAAATTATTTAATTAATTGAAATTAATTTAAGAATTGCACAATATAAAGTCACTCACATTTAATTTTCTTTGTGTTTCCAATGAAAAAAAAAAATTTCTTTTGTTTTTGTATCTTTTTAACTTTTTTTTTTTAAATTCAAAATGTATCATTTAATAATATTTTATATAATTTATTTAAAATTTTTTTTTTATTTATTAAACTTTTGATTGTGTATGTGTGCGTGAGTGTATTCTATGTTACATCTTTTAATAAATTTCGTAAAAAAAATAAATAATTTCGGCAAGAAATTAAAAAAAAATGAAAAAAAGGGCCAATTAATAAGGAAATATAAAACAGGTTTTCACTATAAATTCATCTTATCTTACATCTTATTTTTTAATCATTTTCTGAAAAATTATTTTTTGTGTCATATTTAATGAAAAATTTTATTCAAAAAATAATTATCATTATCGGATTCTCGTATTTATTATTATTATTATTATTTAAATAAAACATGTTGAATTGACTTACATATTAAAAAACAATAAAAAACAAGCCAAGGTGGCTGCATAGCTATATATCGAACACACACACACACAGAAAATATAAACTTTGATTAATAATAATAATAAAGACTCACTGCCAGTTTCACACGCATAACTAAACTTAGGCTTGGTAGATACTAGTTACGATGCCAAGGTGGCTGTTATGTGAATTCGTTGGCTCTAACATAGCCACCACCATCCCACCACCACCGCCATCATCATCATTATCATGGAGACTTTCAAATCATTTGTTTGTTCCGTAACAAAACCGTTTTTTTTTAGAAAAAATATTATCTTAATTTTAATATATTTATTATTGATTCATTATTAATAATAATTTTTATAATAAATAATTTTAAAAAAATATTTAGAGATCGTGATTTAATTACAGCTTTCACGTGTTTTTTTTTTTTCTAAATAAACAAAGGAAAAGTTGATTTTTTGTTTCTTAATCGCAAAAATTCAAGATGGTATTTTTGTTAGAAAGTGAGATGAGATATTAACCCAGAGGCATTATAAAAAAAAAAAAATTTTTTTTTCTTATTCTTCTTCTTATTTTCGATTTTGTTTTTTTTTTGTAATTATGAATTTTAAACTCATTAAAATTATTTTGGTAAATAAAAATAAATTGATGTATGTACATATTATGTATTTATTGAGGTTACGAGTCATGAGAAAATCAAAAAAAAAATAAATAAATACAATTGAATAATTAAAATAAAATGTAAATTTATAATTATCACTTTTTTTTTTTTGCAAAATTTATTATTCATTTGACACAAAAGCAAAATTATTTATTTCAATTTTTTTTCCCCCCTTAAATTCTTCTCGTTTTATTAAAATCCCTCTCGGGTAAAACATAAAACTCATTTATACTTTTATTTTATTATTATTATTATTATTAATATTATTTTGTAATTTAATGAGAAAGGTAACATTAACAGATGAAAAATGTTTCTTAACTAAAAAACTATAAAAATTTCCCCCCCCCCTTTTTTTTTTTTAATATGCGTGAGTACAAACAAACTTCGATCAATAAATCAATCAATGCAATGTATATTAACAAATAATAATAATAATAATATACAGCTTCAAAAAATAAATAATTATTAAAATTAGTACGATTTTAAAACATGAAGATAAATATGATGATTTCCTATAACTTTTTTTTTTTTTTAATTTTTATAAAATTTTTCGATTTGAAAAAAAAAAAAATCTTTTTTTTCTTCGATATTAAATTGCAATTTATTATTATTATTATTTTGTTATTTCCTGTTTTTCAATAAATTTCTCCCCGTACGTTTTTACGTGTGAAACAATCATCTTTTATTTTTTTTTAAATTATTACGAACTGATTCGTTTCTGTATCCAGGTTGTGGTAAATTTATCCTTTCTAATAAATTAAATAATTTTTTTTTTGTCTAAAATTAATTTTTATTATTATTTATTACGAATTATATTTGAAATTTTAGCTTTAGGATAATTCAAAAAAAAAAAAAAAAAAACTTTACAATAAATATTTATTTTCTAGTGTTGTACTAAAAGAGTGTTTATTTATTTAAATATCATTGGTTATAAAAAAAAATTGTAAATTCGTGTCAATACGTTTAATAATGTCACATGTTATTTACAACGTGAAAATGATTGTAAATATGTTTAATATTTATTTATTTATTTTTTTTTACCCTGTCAACAGGCATTAAATAACTTATTAACAAAAGATGCCACCGAATCAATAAATGATTCACTTCTTAAATTTACCTTAAATTATTTTAGGATTCAATTTATTAATGACTTTAGAGATACAAAATTAAAAACAAAAAAAACAAAGGATAATAATAATAATAATAATATAATAAATAATTTAATTTAAAAAAAAATTATTTTTTTTTTAATTAAAGTAATAGTTTTTTTATTACCGACTCTTTGTTATTATTTTCAGAATCATTTTTAATTGAGTTTAATTTTATATAATGAAATTAAAAAAAAAAAAATGTATTTAATTTCAATTAATAATAATTTTTTGAATGACGTAATTGTATTACTCAAGTTGTAAAAACATAAATTTTTTAAATTTCACGTTTTAAAAAAATATAATTTATATATATTTTGATCTTTAACGATTAACAATAAATATTAATTAGATTAAGAAAAAATAATTTTTTTATATTTTAAATATCATAAAAGTGTAATAAACAGTATAATAGGAGAAGAGATTACGTTTTTAAAAAGAAATTATTAGAAGATAATCAAAAAATCTTAAGCTTACCATAATGATAATACGGTTTAAATATCTCGTGCGGGGTAAATTTTTTAATTTTAAAGCCATCATTATTTGCCTCGTATAAAATTTAGAATAAAAATTTTAATAAATCAAGTCCGCAAAAAAAAAAAATTTTTTTTGATTGTCATCTCTTCTCTGTTCTTCTTTTATGATGCACATAATGAATATTACACTCTAATTATTTGAAAGTTGTCCTTAATCTCTTATGATGGAAACAAAATTTTTTAAGAATGGGATGGTAGATTTTTTAAAACTCTCTAAAACAAATTTATCATATGTAAATTTACAGAATAAATTTTTAAAAGAATATAATAATCAATGTTAAGTTAAAAATTTGGAAAACAAATATTTCTATCGAAAGGTAATACTTTTACTCTTACTGTTTTCAATATTAAAATAGCATTGAAGTTTAACTCATTCAAAATGTCGTTTATTTTATTATAATTATTGAAATGTATAACGGAACGAATTAAATATCAGATGTGATAAATATCAGATGAGTAACATTTTCATTTAGCGACAAGTGGTTTAGAAAAAGAAAAAAAAAATTGTCGCAGTTTTGTTAAAATACGGAACTTAACATAGAGTTATTTTTATACGCACGAAAATATCGGGGCAGAAGAAAATGCTGTTAGTAAAAACAATTTCGTTATATAATGTGAAAATGATAATTTAGAATAAACGAAACGCAATTATATTATTATTCTACAATGTTACATCTTCAGCAATATAATAGTAGTGACGAAAGCAATGATTCGGATTCTGTAGCACATTTCAAACCGATTAGTCCTGAAAATTCAATCGCCTTCCTTACAAAAAATTTATGTCCTGCACCTCCAGCCGTTTCGTCGGTGAGTTTTTTTTTTTTTTTAATAATTTTTGGCGCTATAAAATTATTTTACTTGAATTCATCACGTGATTAGTAATAATCATTTTGAGAAAATAAATTCTCATTACTTTAAGAAAAAAAAAAAAGAAACTATTGTTTTGATGCTCTTGAAAAATCTGTTTAATTTTAAATAATTTTATTACTGTATCAACTTCAAGGATGATGTATAATATTTTATTCTTTTTTTTTTTTTTTTAGAATACTACTGAAAAGTTGATGCCTATTTCAAAATTTTCCAAGGAAGTGTTATACAATCCTAAATATGAAGAGTTGTTTGCACCGGATGTAGGACCAGAAAACCCTTTTAAAACACAGCAGCAAAAAGCTCATAAAAATATTTTATCTGGTTATGTGGAAAAAGCTCACCTTAACGAATTTCAATTTGAAAATCAAAGAAGAACATTTCATAGTTATGGTTTTGCAATTGATCCATCAATATCAAGTTCTCAACAAGACGATAATGTTATTTTAAGTGAAAATTCATATGGATGTGATCTCAACAAAACTGTTTTTGAATCCAAAAAAGAAAAATCTTATGAAAAAAGAAAAAGATTTAAAAATGACAATCCAGAAGATATAGATGGTTTTTTGGGACCTTGGGGAAGTTATGTGAATGAAAAAAAAAGTATTAAACCTACTGAAGTGAGTGTCAACAATTTAATAATTAATCTCTCGATTATTTTTATGACTGAGTAAAAATGCTTGATTTTTTTTTATTTCAGGAAGAAGCTCAAGCACTAGGAGAAATATTAGCCAAGAGACATAAAAGAGGGAAATTTGTTGATGAGAAACCTATAGAAGAAAAAACAGTTTTACACAGTAAGTTTTTATGTATTACTAGTTATGCATATTTTAGCTGGAAAACATTATTTGTTTTGAAAGATTTTTACTTTAATTTAAAATTTCTTGTTTTTGTGGTATTTAAATTTATATTATGGGGGAAAAAAGTAAAAAAATGAAACTGATAATTTATATTTGGTAAATATCAATACTGCTTATCTTTTTTTAAATAATTACCATAAAATTTTACATAGAATGTTAACAAAAGTATTGGTATAAGTGATTTTAAAATGATCATTACAAAATTACAATAATAAATAAAAACCAAATAATTTTTTTTTTTTTGTTAGCTTTACCCTTAATGAATTTTTATTTTTAAAGAAAAAACTCGTAACAAGAAAATATTTTTTTTTTTTTGTGGTATGAAATGGACTTGATAATTATTGATTATTCACATTGTATTATTTCATGAAATTTACCAACAAATTTTTAACTTATTTAACATATATATATATATATATATATATATATGTATATTCATAATTTTTTCCCTTAATTGCTATTACTTAAACTTATTTAAAAAAAAAAAAAAAGGAAATCACATTGACATATAATAAATGATGAAAAATAATTTTTTTCTTTAAGTGCCTAATTTCGTTATGATACATTTTTGATTTTAATTTTTTTTTTTTTTTTAGTTAAGGATAGTATTGATTACATGGGAAGAAATTTTCTACACATACCTCAAGATGTTGGAGTAAATTTAAAATCAGATTCTCCTCCTGAAAAATGTTTCTTACCTAAAGCTCACATTCACACATGGCAAGGTCATACAAAAGGTGTTGCTACAATCAAATGGTTTCCTAAATCTGCACATTTGCTACTATCTGCAGGAATGGATTGCAGAGTCAAGGTATTTTTTAATAATATATATTTAATTTTTTTCACTATAAATTTAAATTATTTATTTTTTTTGAAAATAGATTTGGGAAGTTTACAAAGAACGAAGATGTATTCGAACTTATTACGGTCATAGCCAGGCTGTTAGAGATGTGAGTTTTAATAATAACGGAAATCAATTTCTATCCGCCGGTAAGTTTTATAAAACATAATAATTTTATTATAAAGTTTATTGTATGGTTTGAGCGGATTAAATTTAAACTATAATCATGATTGATTGTTTTTCAAAAGATTTTTAATTTAGAAAATTTTGTGATTTTAATACTTTTCATTAAGACTCGTAAATATCGCCATTATTGTTATTTATCATCAAAAATATCTCTAATTAAATTAAAAATTTCTTTAAAAAAAAATCTTTTTTTTTTTTTTTTAGCTTATGATCGTTTCATAAAACTTTGGGATACCGAAACAGGGGAATGTATATCTAGGTTCACCAGTAAAAAAATACCTTATTGTTGTAAATTTAATCCCGACGATGATAAACAACATTTGTTTGTAGCCGGGACATCTGACAAAAAAATTGTTTGCGTGAGTACTTTTTTTTTTTTTTTTTAAATTCTTTTTTTTTTTCCATTTGTGAGGATCAAACATATACAAAAATAAATTTTCAGTGGGATACACGTTCGGGAGAAGTGGTTCAAGAATACGATAGACATTTAGGAGCAGTTAATTCAATCACATTTGTGGATGACAATCGGAGATTTGTGACAACATCCGACGATAAAAGTTTAAGAGTTTGGGAATGGGATATTCCAGTTGATATGAAATACATTGCTGATCCTACTATGCATTCCATGCCTGCAGTCACTCTCTCTCCAAATCAAAAATGGTTAGCTTGTCAAAGTATGGATAATAAAATCGTTATATTTTCTGCCATCAATAGATTTAAAATGAATAGGAAAAAAACTTTTTCCGGTCACATGGTTGCTGGATATGCCTGTTCTTTGGATTTTTCCCCAGACATGAGGTATAATTATTAATATATTTTAACATAATAATTAAAGAGGAAATTTATCTCCAGGTTGTTAATTTTTTTTTTTTTTTAAGTTACCTTACGTCTGGCGATGCTGATGGAAAGTGCTATGTATGGGATTGGAAAACAACAAAGCTTTTCAAAAAATGGAAAGCTCACAATGGGGTATGCATAAGTAGTCTTTGGCACCCTCACGAGCCGAGCAAAGTTGTAACTGCCGGTTGGGATGGACTAATTAAATACTGGGATTAAATCTTTCACCAGATATTTAAGTATGTATATTTATTTTATAAATATACAATTATTTCATGACTTTTCTTTTCTACGAAATAAATTATTTTTGTTCAATTTAAAAAAATCGTCGATCATTATTATTATTGAAAAATGTTAGTTACGGTTTGAGCAATTTTATAATATAACAAATCAATAATAATTCTTTTTTTAATATTTATATTTATTTTAAGTTGATATACACACGCATACAACTTTATATGTGAACACGATCATTATTTGTTTTTTTTTTTTTTAATAACTAAATTAATTGTAAAAAAAAAAAAAAAATATGCTTTCATTAGGCAAATAAGTATGAGTAGAAATTTTTTTTTTTTTTTGGTTTTTACATTAATGTTAACGATATATATATATATAAAAGTTATAATTTTTTTTGTGTTCGCTGTTAAAAATTAAAAAAAAAAAAAAAAAAATCGCGTACTATATATAAGAGGATTCAATGAACAATTTATGTACACCGCAATTGTCTTTATTATTTATAAACTAATAAAGTCAATGTTAACTTTGCCTTGATCGACTGCAACCGAAGTTGGATTTTCTAACATTGCGTCGGCAAGATTTTCAGCAACTTGAGAATCCGGTCCTAGAGAGCTGTCCGATTCTTCGCTATAACTAGGATACATTCGAGGAGATTGTTCCAAGCTGCTGCTCGAAGTTGATTCTATTAAAACCGGCACTATGGGACGAGAAGAAGTGCCTAATGGTATATTTATTGAATTCGACCGAGTAGGTTTCGTACATGTACCCGATCCTACTTCGACAGCGTCAAAATCATTGGATATCCCACTGACGGAAGTAAAAGTTTTAAAAACGAATTGCGGTCCCATCCATAATCTACGATGCGGACCCGTGTGAGTAATTATTTCTACTTGAGAGAGCCAATGCTCGTCATCTTCGTTTAAACTATCGTTATCTAGCAAGTTGGATGGTTCGTAATGTAACATGAGCGGATTATTAGGAGGAAGTGGAAGCTGAAGTTCCGACGTGCTCGGGGGTTTCGATAAATTCCACTGAGCTTTGGCTTCAACTTCTAACTCTATGGGAGTTTCATCACAAATTTTTTCTTTAGGAATTCCGGCGGTAGGCCGAGGTCTCAAATGATACTCAATTAAATTTCCACTGCAAGACATAACAAAAAGTGAATCAACTGGTTTTTTATTATACTTTTGAACAACTTTTCCTGTGACGGGAATCCAACCGCGAAGAGGAGCGAAACAAGCGGCAACTTTTAACGGTATGACACATGCTTCTTCCGAATGTGATTGCCTCGTGTTTAATTTACTAGCATTTTCTATTCTTTGAGATTGAAAGTTTGACGAACTAAGTAACGGAGAGTGTTTTATGTGCGCCAAAGCGAGAAGATTCGTCGGATGAGGAAAAGGAGGCAGTCTGGGATTAGTGAAAGCCACGCATGGAGCCCATATTGTTGTTTCCGGACTGTTTCGACCATCGGGCATTAGTCCGGCGCTGCGATGAAATCGAGATTGTCTGTTCACGACGTGAGGAGTCGCGTGTGTGCGAACGGCGATGGGTCCGCCATATGCAGTCACGGCAAATATGTGAGTGGTGCCTCTTAAGGTACTTACGGTCACCCATCGGGAATCACTCGACCAGGCAATATCTTGAACTTTTGAAGTAGTGTCACCCCTATGGAGTACATAAAGGTGATGAACTGCTGCGCTGTGCGACCCACAAGGATGGGGAAATATTCGAAAAACGTGAAAATCATGACCCCGTTTATCAGCAGTTAGGAGGAGCATGCCAGAAGGATCGAATGATATCGCCACGATAGGTTCACTGTGTGCAATAAAATGAGCGACTACGTCGCTTCCATTGTCATTTTCATTTGTTTCCCTTAAATAATTGTTCACTAAATGCGTGTCTAATATTGTGATAACTCCCGGATGCAAATCTGAATTTTCGACTTGCGTAAAATAAGTATTCCTTTGTCCCGCCAAACTGTTGGCAACTGCGTCTCCGAAATCTCTAAGGCCCTTGCCCAATGATTTGGCAGCATGAAGAACCGTGGCCGTTACCGATTGACCGGAATACACTTCGGCTCCTCCCGAAGACAAATGAGTCGAGAGTATTCTCCTTTCGGCATACGCCAACCACCTTGAACCTAATGCTATAGGATTCGGATTGGGCCCTGTAGTTGGGTAACAAGTAATGATCGCTTTTTTTTCTTCAAGCGTTCCGGCGTCTAATATAGCCAATTTCTCTGGAAATGTCACGACCACGACTCTACGCGAGGAAACAACGTCACTTATGGGATTTTTATATTTGATTATTTTGACTTGATCTCCGATTTTCAAAGAAATAAAACTTAGTGAGCAAAAATGAGGTCCCTGCCCGGTCGAATCGCACAAAGCAACAATTGGTCTTTTCTGTGAAAAAGCATCGTGAATGTCCGATTGTGGCGTTTGTAAAATACGAAGGGTTCTAACGACTCCTCGTCTCCAGGATAAAATTTCACTAGCTTCTCCATTGTTCTTTATGCACCATACTTGCACTCCACTTCCGTAACCTAAGATAAGTAATAATGGAGGAGAGTTTAAGCCATCATCACTGGATTCAGAGATTAGAGCAGGATCATTCACATCACAATACTCAAACCTTGCCCAAGTTATCACATCTTTGTTTTCAGCATTGCTTCCAGTGGTCGGTACCACATCATTGATGAATCCAGTCACACTTTCAATAATAGAGCGATCAGTAACTGGTTGAGGTAAAACAGGATTGACACCACTGCTACTAGGACTTCTGTACTGAGTCTCAGCAGACATTTTTTTGTTAAATATTTACCCCCCTGCAAAAATATAAACAACCTCATTTGAGTATTTCTTAAAATTAAATTTCCTATAAATTACCTTCATGTATTATATACAAAATGAATTTAATTAATTACCTGTTCAGTAAATTATATTCAGAAAATTCACAAAAGTAATTTTTTTTTAAAAACATTATGCAAATCTTAATTAAACAAACAAATTGAAAATATTTGAAAAGTTTTTCATGATGATAAACTGATAATACAAAAATAAACAATAGAAGAAGCTTAAAATCAAATCAAATAACCTTCTAATAAAACTTAACGAGTATTTGATGGATACTGCAGGCATAAAAAGGATTTTATTGTCTTCGTGAAATAATCATAATAATAATAATAATAATAATAATAATAATAATAATAAATTGTAAATATGATCAAGTTTAGATTTATATAATTTATCATAAGTGAATTTTTAGTGATTCAACAAAGAACATAAAGAAAAATAATATTTATCAAAAGTCCATGATTTTACCTTTTAATTTCATAAAAAATCATTTTAAATAAACATTACAAATTTCATCATGAGTCACTTATTATCGACAATAAAAAATGACATTAAATCCATAACGTTTTTTATTTTATTATTCAGATATTAGCCATATTGTTGATAAATTACGAAAAGTAAGTATGTGTGCAATTCAATTTTAAATTTTATTTTTTTTTTTTTAGGTTGCTGAATAGACTGAGAGCTTCACAAAATATTTATCAAGACAAAGAAGTACATTGATTCGAAAGCGTTATTCTATACTTTATCTACGTCGTAAAAATAAACACGGAAAAATTCGACAAAAATAATAATACCCACCAGATGAAGATTACTGCGCAGAGTATTTTTAATAAAATTTGAAAATATTATTTACTGATTTACGTCAACTACAAGACACAAATAAATATTTACAACCACAAAAAATTCCAAATAATTAACAAATAAAACTTTATTATTGTGCATCAGCTGATTTGACTCAAACAATGATTTAAAAACGGAAATGAGATGCTTCTAGAAGGAAAGGACAATTCATAGAGTATTTAAATCGTCGTACGGGAAATAGGTAAATTTAAAATTTTTACAGTAACGAACTGTGGAATGCTGCTCACAAGTGCAGGTAAAAAAAAAAAAAAATCAGGTAACGTTTTATAAATTTCTTACTCTTTAATTTATGTATTACAGTATGATTTATAGAAAAATGAAAAATTCTTTTTGTTAAAACATTTATTTTATTAAAAAAAAAAGCATTTTCGTTTACAAACGAAACTGTTTTCTCTTTTTTGCATTTGGGACAAAATTATAATTATTAAAAAAAAAAGGAAATTATTTGTTAATAAATAAATAAAACTTGAGTAATAAGTTTTATTTACTTAATTTTTTTGTTTTGTTATAAATTTTAGGAAGCTAAAGTCGATTTGAATCAAAAAAGCCGTCGATTGAAAATATATATAAAAATTATTATTATTATTATTATAATCAAATCGAAACCGTCGAGCGCCAAAAAGCGATGAACGTTTTAAAAAATAATTGGATGCGTAAGCACAAGTTTAAAAAGGAAAAAATGAAACATTTCAGCGATTTAATCACAGGTAAATTAATTATAATTATAAAATTTTTTATTCAAAAATAATATGATTCAATAACTTTTAAAATCATGAATAATGATTAGTATTATTATCATTATAATTAAAATTGGTCTTTTTTATTGCATAATACTAGTTGAACAACTAGTACTAGTAACTTTCGAACAAAAGTAAAATATCAGTGTTGAATTGTGATTTTAAGAGTTATCATCATTCTCAATATTTTTTCTATCAAATTTATTTCAAAATGATGAACATAATAAAAATTTTCAATCTGTTTTTACAACAAATAAGAAAGTAAACCTTATTAAATTTAATTATAAGTTACAATGAATGTTAAGACGAGTAAAAAAAAATCACAAAATGTTTAAAAGTCTAACAAATTATAAAAAATTTTTTTATTTTCTATCTGTAATAAAATGCTTTGAAGCCTCGAATGTTTAAATGGTAAATTAATAATTATTATTATTTTATTTATTCAGCAGAAACAGAAGTTGAAGAATCATCATCAGTGAACACACCTACATCATTAGAAAATTATATTTCTCCAGGAAAAAAAATGTGAGTAAAAAAGAAAATTTGAATTTACATTGTATTTTAAATATATATATATATATATATATAAATAATTAAAGTAAAATGTATTTTATTATTGACAATGTGAATATTATTAAATTAACTGTTATTATTAAATTAATTTTTTTTTTTTTTTTTTTACGAATCATATTGTAAAACAATAATATTTCACAATTTATAATTAAAATTCAAGTGAGTAAAATAATTTTTTTGGTGGAATTTTACTATAATATCATAATTTTATGTTTGATTAAACTGTTTTTTTTTTTTTTTTTTTTTTTTTTTCAGGTTTGAAAAATACAATACAGAGCATTCTTCACTCATTCCCTCAGATTCAAATCAAACATCTCTAATAACAGAAAAAATTAATGATTTCAATACCTGTAATGTGAGTATTTAAACTATTTTAACATTTCCTACAGTGTTTTTCTTGGCTACAAAAATTATTTTTAAATTTAATTACTACACTATAACCCAATATGGCGGATAATACTTTTCTAATGGCTTACAAAAAATTATTGAAGTAAATAGGAATAATATTTGAAATTTTTTTTTTTTACCGTACAAAAACGTGGATTTGACAAATAATTATCATTTTAAATCGTAAATGAATTGTTGAGGTGAATTTTTTTTTAGACTGAACGTATCGTCGAAGTCACTGGTGACAAATCTAAGTATAAAAATATACGATAAAATTTATTTTTCTATTTTGCCATGTCACTTTTGACGTCTATAAATTCTTCGTATGTGCACTCATTTATGGGATGTAAACCTAATCGTCCTCCGGATCCTCCGGGTATAATGGATTTCCTACCGAAGCTACAAGTTTTTCCATTTTTAGGTTTTATTCCGGGGCAAATTGACATTTTTCTTTTCGCCGGCAAAGGCATCATCCTGTTGAATAAATCTTTTGCTCTTTCGATTATGTCTGGATCGCGCATTAAATTTACAATGAATTCTTCTCGTTTTCTAATAATGTACTCGGTATCCAAGAGAGTTTCTTGAAAATCTTTTTCGCGGAGGACTCGCGTGGCCAAAAGTAAAAATTCAATTATGGATTCGTCCTTGTATTTGTAAGCGCATTCCAGACAATCTTTGAGCGATTGGAGTGCTTCTTCTTTGTTATGACAATTGGATTCTCCTACGGTCATCATGAACAAACCGTTTATCATCCACGGTAAATGATTGCAATTTTTAGCGGCGAAAAAGCACTTTCGTCCTCTCAGAGTCATGTGTTCCCATTTATGAAATTCTCCGTAACACCTCCCGATTTCGTGGTGAATCCAAGCTCTTTCTACTTCGCTACTCGCAAATTCCAAATAACTTTCGTAAGTGGCCAACCAGTTTTTATAATCTGCAAAGGGATAACACGTTTCTTGTACCAGGGGCTCCATTTTTAAATCCAAATATTTTCCATCGAATCCGAACCAGTATAAAATCCTTTTATAATTTTCCGAGAGATTCAAATGCGGTTTTAGTTTTTTCAAATCTAAATAAACAATGCTCATGAGAGAATAAAGTGCGCTAGCATATTCTTTTTTTTTCGGCAGCCATTTTTTCGGAGTTTTATCTAAATTTTTTTTTATCCTGTCGGCGAGTTCTATGCAATTTTTTGTATTTTTATATTCTTTTTCTTTAAAAAGTTTGCCGAGCATTTTTTCAACAATTCGTGTTTTACTTATTATCATATCAAAATTTTGCATTTCTTTTTTTTTCTTTAATTTTTTTTCCGATTTTTCAATTTTAAATTTAATATGGTAATAAGGTTTTCTCGACTGCAATATTTCTTTTCTTCTATTTAAATCGTCGAGTGCTTTTTTTGCTAGTTTTAATATTTTAGTTGTTCCCATTTTATTAACTGAAATAACGTTTGGGTTTTCCAACGCTTGTTGAAACCACTTTCTGTCGTTATTTAATTTTCCTAAATATGTTTCCGCCAACATGCTGTTTAATTGCTTTTGCGATCGTACGTAGCGATTCCATTCGAAATAAGAACAGGGAGGAGGAGCGGTGATTCCTAAATCGTCAACGTATTTGCTCGCTCTTTCTTTTAATTTTCTATCTTTTTCATTTTTCAAATCCATTTTTCTAATGATGACATTCATGTCGGTCAAAACGGGACCCGCGTATCTTCCGATGCAATCTTCTATGGTTCCTTCGGCTTGGTATCTTCCGTTTTGAAATTCTGGTCTTTTTCCCCTTTTGTTCATTCCGTTATGGAAAGCGCGAAGGCCATCTTCGAAATCTCCCAATTCGTAACGGGACAGAGCTTGTAAAAAAATGGCCTCTTTATCGCAATCGTTTTGAGCTAGAACGTATTCGGCGTCTCTCAGTGCTCCTTCGAAAAGTGTATTTTTGCTCCTCGAAAACCCTCTTCCTATCACAGCTCTCCGATCATCCGGATACATTCCTACGGTTATATTAAAGTTCCGGGTTGATGCTTCAAATTCGGCTCTTTTATAATTTTTCCATGCCATTTCTCTGTAAGTCGTTAGAAATCCAAACGGCATGGATTTTTGATCTTGACTCGTAAAAACGACGGGCGTGTCGAATTCCGTAGATTCGACTTTTTTTAACTCAAATTTATTCGCCATTATTAAATAGACACAAATAAAACAATTATTTTAACTAAAAATAAATTAAACAAATAGAAAAAAAAATATATATATATATATATGTATATATGTATGTATATAAATTATTTGTCAAAAACCAAATAAACTTTTTTTTTTTTTTTCCCTTTAATTTTGCCTAGGATACGAATGTAAAATTTTAAATTACGTCATCAAAACACAATTTTTGAGTTTAAAATTGCGGTTATTAATATCAAATGTCAATACGACATATTAACTTATTTTTATTTCCCTCCCCCTCCGAAATCTATGTTTTCCTTGTAATTTTAACTAATTTTCCCGCGTATATAATTTGAATTTATAAAATAAATTTAATGTTTAAAAAAATTCACGTCAATAAATTTAAAAAAAAAAAAAAAAAAATTTTAATAAATATATTATTATTTAATTTAAATGAAAGTAAAAATTGGAAAAAAAAATATTCTTATTTTTAAATAAAATTATCAAAGTGGGAATAAAAACTATTTCATAGTTAGTTAATTAGTTTTTAATAAAACTAATTTAAGTCAATTGTAATTAAATTACATTTTGTTAATTTTTATTTTTTATTTTTATTAATTATGTTTAATTTAATTCTTTGACAGAATAATAGTTCAAATGAAGTTTTCGTGAGCGGCGATGACATTAAATTAACCTGCAACAGCATAACAAAGTAAGTCGAATAAATTTTACCTTTTTTTTTACCTTTAAATAAAAAATAAGTTACATAAATTTAATTTTAAAAAATTTTTTAATAAACTGAGTATTGTAGCATATTTTTTTTAACGTTAATGTATTATTAATATTATATTTTTTAAGAAAAAAATTTCTTTCTTCCGAAATGCGAACGCCTTTTTGTAAAAGGGATATTCGTTTTAGAAATTCAGCATCGACTTTAATTAAAAATTCAATAACTGAAAATTACATTTTAGGTAATTAAAAAAAAAAAAAAATTTTTCACGCACACCCAACACGAATAGATTTTTAATTATATAAAATTTAATGTTAAAATATTTAATTTTCAGCTGTGACCGAAGGAAGGGGACAAGCTCGATGCGAAGTAGGAATTGCCGCCATGGATCTTAATCGTCCTTTTCTTGTTTTAAGTCAAATCAGTGACGGACCCAGATATATTAAATCTTTATCAAAAATAAATCTTTTTCATTTTACAGAAGTATGTATTTTTAATTGTATCATTTTTGTTTTTTTTAAACTCTAATTTAAATTTTAACCAATGGAAAATTATCCTTTGGATTTTATTTTTCTTTCCAGATGATCGTGCCCAACACTTTCATTGAAAGCGAAAATCAAAATAAATTTTTCGATTGTATGATATCAAGATTTCCAAATACAACTTTTACAAGGATACAAAGGCGACACTTTAGCGAAACCATCGGAAAAGATTTAATTAAATTGTATTGTTCGAAAGACAGCGATTCGGAACTCTTACTTTTTCGGGATAAGTTAATATCACTAAATGGCAATAACAATAATGATATTGAAATTTCTATTTTTGTATTTAATAACGCATCCGATGTTTTTATTTTTATTTTTCTTCAAAGGTTTTACGCTTTATCAGCAGCGGGAGCTTTAATTAAATATGTAGAATTCAAAAAAAACGTACGATTGGCTTCGCGTTCGTTAAAAGTTGAATATCAAGGAACGGAGGACATAATGATCATCGGTAAGTAGAGGGGAGGGGAAAAAATATTTTATTTTTTATATAAACTTTTTCATTAGAGTCATTTTAATATTTCACGTGTTTAATAGTGTTTGAATTTTCTAGATTTAGATACCGCTAATAGATTGGAATTAACAATGTGTGCTCGTAATCCTCAAATTAATATGAATAGAAGTCTTATGGGCGTGGTTAACCATTGTCATACAAAGGCGGGAACCAGACTTTTAAGAGCAAACATCTTACAACCCTATTTTTCATTATCTAAAATTCAAAATAGATTGAATTGCGTCGACGAATTGGTTTCAAATCAAATTTTTTTTTCTGGGCTCGAGGTATATATTATTTTGTAATAAAGTATGCTACGAATTACAACATTAAACTATATATATATATTGATTTTTTAAGGCTGCCATTAGAAATTTTACAAACTTTGAAGAATTACTTAATCTATGCATGTATTCGCCAAGACAAGATGGATTAAGAATAGCAGAATATCAATTGAAATATGCATTACATTTAAAAACTGTATTAGAAGCTTTGCCGAAATTAACGGCCTCATTGGAAGTGGGAAAATCCGAATATTTTAAAAAAGCATTAAAAGTATGTTCAAAGAAAAAAAATTTTTTTTTTTTTTTTTTTTACTCGCATTATTTTAATTAATTTATTTTTTTTATAGTATAAATGTTGAATATTTAATTTTCAGGAACTACAAGATTATAGATATGATAAAATTCTTTGCAGAGTGATTGAAACAGTTTCAGAAAACACGAGATCGGTTAAAAATTCAATTGCATCACATTTACATGGATGTTTTGCTATTAAATCAGGAGTTAACAGTTTATTAGATCTTGCGAAAAAAACTTATTGCGAAATTGTTCAAGAAATAACAGGTAAAAATTTCTGTTACATGATACGTAAACAACGCGATTCGATGAGCGAGATAAAATGAATAAACATTTTTTTTTATGTTAATATTTTTTGGCGCGTTTTCATTAATGATAATGACGAGAGAATTTTTTTTTTACAGATTATGTGGCAACGCTAAGAGATAATTACAATTTGCCTTTAAAAGTTGCTTTTTCTTCAAACAATGGATTTCATATTCAATGCATTTTACCACCGTCGGAACATTCGATGAAACCGACAAATCTTCCAAAAGAATTTATTCTTGTAAAAAAATCTAAAACAAAATTTAATTTTTACACATCGAAATTAGTGGCTTTGGATCAGAGAAGTCAACACGTTTTAAACGAAATTAAATTGATGACCAACGCGTGAGTAAACTAAAAAAAAATTATTCAGGTAATAAATAAATTTACTAATCTTATTTGTTTTTATAGGATAGTTTTTGAAATGTTGAACGATATCAGAGAAGATATAGGTTGTTTGTTCAATTTAAGTGAAATAATTGCAGAACTCGATGTTGTTATATCTTTTGCCAGAATAAGTTCAGTGAAAAATTATGTAAAACCGAAATTCGGAAATGAACTTGATCTCAAAGAATCGAGGCATCCAATATTAGATAGTATTCAAGATGGAAACGTGACCCCGAACGACGTGGTAAGTCAATTTTTCTATTTACATTCATTTGGATCATAAAAAAAAAAAAAAAAAATCCTCGCGATTCAATTTAAAATTTATATTAATAATTCATAAGAAAACATAGATTGAGTAATACACAACAATAAATTTGTGTTTTTACTTTCACACATTTCAAATAAAGAAATATTTAAAAAAAAAAAAATTTTATCTCGCAATGATATTAATTGTTAATAAATTTTGAAAGTAAAAAATTTTTTTTTTTTTTTTTTTTTTTCAAGATGGCCAAACCAGGAAAAAATTTTACAATTTTAACAGGACCGAATCAAAGCGGAAAATCAATTTACGTTCGACAAATTGCTCTCCTACAAATAATGGCTCAGGTAAATTCAAATTTTTTTTATTAATTTTTAATAATTGATATGTTGTAAGGGAAATAAATAAGATAAACATATTGTATTTTGTGAAAATATATATTTTCAGATCGGATGTTTCGTTCCAGCTAAAAGTGCTTCTTTTAAACCGATGAATAAAATTTTTTCCAGGCTCGGTTTTGACGATGATTTAGAAACTAATGCTTCCACATTGATTGCCGAGGTTAAATATATATTATCATTATTATCGATAATTATATCGGATAACTGTGATTTTGAAAAATGAACGTGATCCGTTCGAACGTATTATTAATTATAAGCGGTTATTTTTTTTATTTTTAAAGAATAGGATTAACTGATTAGGATTTTACAGATGCGAGAAATCGAATACATTATGCGTAATATGACGTCTTCATCCATGATAATAATTGACGAATTATGTAGAGGAACATCCGTAAATGAAGGTACGAATTTGGCATTCGCCATTTGCGAACAATTATTGGATTCTCAAGCATTTATTTTTTGCACTACTCATTATGAACTACTCACAAAACTAGAAGAAATGTATCCGACGGTCACAAAGTATTAATTTAAACAACTCGATGCGATTATAAAATTCAATTATAATTACAACTCTATTAATATTAATTTTTTTTTATTACAGTTATCATTTCGAAATGGAATTTGAAAATAATGAAAAAAATGATACATTGACAACGACTTTTACGCACGTTTTAAAAACGGGGCCCTCGAATGCAAAAGGTTATGGATTACAAGTCACGGAATTTCTTACATCTTTTCCAAAAGAAGTTTATGAAAAAGCCAAAGAAATATCTTTGAATCTCTATAAAGCTCCAAAGGTAAAAAAAAAAAAAAAAAAAAAAATTTTTTTTTATTATCATTATTATTAATTTAAAAAATTAACAAAGCATACATATATTTATATATAAAAAAAAAATAACACAGGAGGAACACATAATAAAAGGATTATCTAACAAATATAAAATTGCACATTTATTTAAAAAAAAATTATTATTAACAAACGAAGAAGAAGAAGAATACGTTTGTTCAGACAATATAATACCCGTAATACGCGATTACATGAAAATCTATAAAAATATTATTAAAACAGAAATAAATAATGGATTTCAATTTAAATCCAAATTTGTGAGTATTTAAAAATTTTAATTAACTATTATTATTAATCGTTATTATCACAATAATAATAATAATAATATCTTTTCAGACTAAAAAAAATAATAATAATAATGATATAAAGCGAAGAAAATTTTTCATATCTAATAAATATAAAAAAAAACAAATGACGATGATTACGATTGCTAAATTATTGGCTCGTAAAATCAAAAAAAAATATAAAAAAAATTTATTTTTATTTTTTTGATTCAAAAGAAAAAAAAAATTCGTCATTTAATCTTCTAGAAAGAAGAAAGAAAGAAAGAAAGAAAAGACAAATTTATTTATTTATTTATTTATTTACCCGGAATAAAATTAATTAATTATTTTTTAATTATCCGATAAAACAATGACTGCTATTTTCAAAACCTCTTTTAATCAGGTATCTATAAAAACAAAAAAATTATTTATTTATTTAACGAATATATATATGTAATTTATATTTCTAAATAATTAATATGTTTTTTTTTTTACTTACTCTTGTATCATTTCAGTAAATTTAATGGGTCCACAAGCGGAAATGAAAAAATTATCGATAAGAGAATTTTTGGATGGCTCGTCTTTATCGGTAAGTAAATAATTATCAAGAATATTTTCATCTATTCTACCTATTAATCCGTTCCACGAAGAATTAGGTTGAGAAAGGCAATAAGTGATTTTAAACCTATCAATATCATACACGTTATTAATAAAAATTTGATCGTGTAATGTACGCAACGCACTCACGCACTCTCTCTTCCTTACCATTTTTCTTTTTTCGACAAATCATCCAATTCTTTTTTCCAAATAATGTCTTCTTCGTAACGATTCAAAAACAAAAGATTCATGGATTTTCTGAAAAAAAATAAAAAATAAAAAATATAGTTCGTTATGATGAGAGGAGATTTGTAAATAATTTAATTGAAAATCTCACATTTGATCTTTTTTAGATATTGCCCAAACTATTATTTTAAGCATCGGAGATAATCCGGATCCCGCAGCTATCAGGTATAATTTTTTAACGTTATTTAATTTTCTTATGTTAAAATTCCCGCTCATTCCTCCGATTTCCACCACGTCTTGTTCTTTTTTTCCAAACAAATAAGGAGTGAGAGCACCTTCGCTATAATACTTAACCATAAAACACAAATAATCGTGATGCCAATGCCTTAATGTGGGTTCCCCGTGAGGAAGGTACGGCGGAATGGGTGTGTATTGCTTTGCGTAGTCTATACCTTCGATTATTCCTCTAATTCTCACGTCGTGTCCAATGGGAACCCACATGAGGACCTTGTCGACAAATTTAAATACAAAAGTTCTCACGTTATGAGTTATTTGATTTATATTTATTATTTTGGCTTTGTGATATTCTTCTATTTCGTCAACGCGTGTCATCATCATACCGTGATTTTTATCATTTTCCCCATACGTATTCCAAATTCCTTCTTCTTTTTTTTCAAATTCTAATTCTACTTTTCCCGTATCCGTGTTAACTTTAACGACGCACGGCCACAAAACTTTTCTTTCTAATTTGAAACAGTATAAATGAAGTTTTTTTTTAACTCTGATCAATATTCTTAAATGTTGTTCTGGTTTGAGTTTGACGAGGATTTGAGGTGATGATATTTTACATTGAAAAATAAATTTTATACATTGCGTCGTTTGGCACCAACACATTTTAATGTCGGATTCGAAAAAAGAATCTTCGGAGCAACCGGCTTCGAATTCGTCATTTTTTTTTTCTTTTTTAAATTTTTCTTCTTTTTCTTCTTCGGTGCATTTGATATTTTCAAAAAATGCTTTTTCAAAATCGTCAGAAGTTGCCGTCGGATTGTTTTTAACCAATCGTCCGACCAAACATTTTTGCAAAATGGATTCGTAATTAACCCAAGGATGAATCTGAAAATAAAATTTCCTTATTGTACACGTAAAAATATCATTATTAATATTTCATCTTTCTCTCTCTCTCTCTTATAAGCGTTTTTTTTTTCTAAATTAAAAGAAGCAAGTTGAAATAATAATATCTGTTGTGTGTATTTTTGTTACGCAAATAATTATTTAACACGATCTACTTACGACAAATCTATTTCCGAGCAAATAATCAAGTCAATAAAATCTATGTTTCACAATATTTACTTTAACGGAAACCAACATCCCTCCCCTCCCTCCCTAATCCCCTCCCAAAAAAAAAAAAAACATAAATTTTAGTGCATGCGTTTGAGATTCTAAAGGTAATCAAATATATATATATATATAATGTAAATAAAAAAAAAAGAGAAAAAGAAATTTCTGAATTCGAATACGTTTATTTGTTAGAATTAATATGAATCTGCATGTGTAAAAAGTAATTTAAAACAAAATGTTTGCAGACAACAAACCGCGTGCACAAACATATTAATTATGTTTTTAAAAAAAATTTAAAAATATTTGACAATACCTCCTACCTCAGTGAATAGTTTTGTCGCATCTTTACCAACTCCTTTCATTAACTCTGGAACGCCTCCAGGATGAAAATTCATGTAATGTGATACATTGTAAACTTTTCCTACAGATGAATTTAAAATTCATCCTTAAATTTTTTCCAAATAAATCATAATAATAATAATAATAATAATAATTATGTAGTAACGTTGAAAAAATAATAAGCAAACCTCTTAAACTTATCCAAGCGTTTTCTTTACTGTTATGTTCTGCTAATTCATCTAAAGGTACATCTTTTAATACTCCGCCAACGCCTGTTAAATCTTTACCAGAATTTCCCAACCTAATCCAATCCATGAGAGAGTGTCCAGGATTAAGGGCAACCTTATTCCTGGGATTACCTGAAAAAAAAAAAAAACATCCACGTGTTGGTACATAAATTAAAAATCAACAAAGAGAATAAAAAAAATTGAATAATAATAATAAGTTATTTTTTTTTTCAGATTCTAAATAACGTTTAAAATAATTTGCAAATTTTTTTTTTGTTTATTTTTTTCATTAAGGTCCTTTGGTAATTAAAATCAAAGTGCACGAATGAAGGTTTTTTTTTTTTTTTTTTTTTTTACAATGCGTCAAAACAAACATTGTAAACAACAACAACAAAGAAGAAGAAGAAGAAGATGAAGAAGATTTTTGGAGGGCCTACTCTATAGAATATAATCGTGTACGTTTATTATTTGATTCAAGTGAACTTTGGTACCAGAGCTTAACATTTTCAATTTATCATTATTGCTTCATTGAATTTTATTCAAAAATGGAGGTTTTGGCTTTTTGCAATGAGCAGGTAAGTAATTAATTAATCACGTATTATTATTTCGTTAAAAATTTCTTAAATGAACTTTTGAGTTTTTTTTTTTTTAATTCCATATAAAATTTTAAATGTTTAAAAAAAATTTAATTTAATCACATTTGACTGTGACATTTCATACGAAAATATTATTAATTTTAAATTGATTTTCGATTTGTTAAAATAATAATAATAATAATAATAATAATTATACTGTTGACGTTTCGGGGGGTTCGTTACCCTATAATTGACCAAAACGAGGAAACAAACAAACAAACGGTCAACAGAATATGAATTCAAATAATTTTATTGCACGATTAAATCAAAAAATAAAAATACGACCAACCAATTTTCTTTTTTTTTTTCACGTTTTACGGTACATCTATAAAAATTTATCATTTGACTATTTTATTAAATTTTTTTATGTTTGTAAAAAAAGAAAGAAAAAAGTATTGAGTCATGGCAAAAAAATTTAGGACAGTAAACAAAGGTAGAATTTTATTATTTGAGGGCCAACAACTCGAGTTTTTAAAACTAGGATTAAATATTTATATATAAAATGATGTAAAAGTAATTGTTTATGTCAATTTAAATTATACCACAATTAGGTCATTACATATCAACTTCAAATAATGAACTAAAAAAATTTCAATCAAGATACTTTAATTAAAAATTGATTTCTCGATAAACCAAAAACTACATGAATGACTCGAAAAACAAGTATAACACCATAAAATTAATAATAATAATAATATCATTTATTATGTGGTTCGAGAAATGTTTTCATTTAAAAAAAATGAATAATGATAAATCGATAGAAAAAATTTTTTTTTTGTAAATTTTCAATATGAAATAACTTAAGTTTAACAAATTAACCAACATTTAAAATGATCAATTAAACATGGCAAATTTAGATTATAAGATTTTGTTGTAAATGATATCGAACATTGATCATTTTATTTAAATAATATTTATATTTATAAATTACCTTCATTGTTACTGTAACTAACTATTGAATCTTGAGAATTGTTTTTAGTTTTAGAAAAACAACAAAATTTACACAGCAAACAATTTTCTTTTGACATTTTTTTTTGTTATTCAATCAATTTGAAATGTGTTGAATATGAATCAAGTCAATTTTTTCATTTCCTGCCTTTTTTATTTAAGTAAACAATTTGGCAAACATATTTCTTCACTATTGACAATAAGCCAACAAAAAAATTTTTTTTTTTTTTTTTTTTTAAATGAACTTTGATTATTTAATACACATGATTAAATAAAAAACTTATTTCAGGTGAATATATGGTTAAAAAAACAAATAAATATAAATTTAACTATTGTAATGAAAATTATTTCATTTAATTTATAGGAAGAAAACAAAAAAAAAAAAAAAATTTTTTTTTTCTATATCACAAAATGAGAATCTAAACTGATAATCTCCACGTAAAAAAATATCGATTTTGAAAAAAGGTGCTTTTTCCCTAATGATATGACCAGTAATTATGTAATTTTTACTTGCCTGTTGCAGAACCAACCGAAGTTGATGAATCATTTTTTCTAATAGCTTTCAAACTAGTTGCCATTTTTTAGTATTTTACTCAAATTATAATTTATAATTTTTCAAAAACTAAAGGTAAATACTTTCTTTTTATTTAATTAAAAAAAAAAATATATAAAAAAAAATACTATAAAAAACTTGATGACATTGTTATTATTCACTTAATAATAATATTTTGAACTGAAATATAAATATGGTTTTTTTTTTTTAAAACATTTCAAAAAAAAAATTAATTAATTTTTATGAATTTGCGTTTAAAAAAATATTTATTGTCACTTGCAAGCAGACGAAAATTAACATGTACGTGCAGTACAATATTGGAATCGATAGGTAAATGAATTATTTCGAGTCTCGTTTACATCGTAAATAAACAAAATGGTCGTTTAATTTAATCCTAGGTTTTTTCTTTTTTTTTTTTTCTTACAATTTATTCTTCCATTGACTTGTGTATATCATTTAAAAGTATATTTGCTGTGAAATATTTTGGTATTTATTCTCTCACCTACCAATGTACGATTATTAGTCTATAAAAAAAAAGTGTTGTAATAAAAAAAAAAAAAAAAAAAAAGAATTTAAGCTTGAAATAAAATTATTAAAAAATATGTTTTCACTAGTTTTAATTCAACAGTAAGTATAAAATAAATCAGTGTGAAATTTATTTTTCAAATTTTGTATTTAAAAGTAAATTTTTCATGTTTGTGTGAAATGTATTAAAATTAAATTTTTTATTTTAATTCCAATGTCACCGTTAATGCAATACACATATTCAAAAAAAGTTAAAATGTTTTTTGCTTATTAAAAATTTGAATTATTTTGTCTATTTGTTTAATATTATTTAAATAATATTTTATTTTGTTTTTATGAAAATTCTAAATCATCTAACATTGTAGCATATATGTATATTATTATTATTATTTAATTTCAAAATTTATTTAGGAAAAATGATAATAATGTAATCTGTTAAAATGATGTTGGTTGTGGACTACGATTGAACAATTATTTCATGTCATGAAGTAAAAAAAGAAAAAGGGGAAGAAATTTCTGAAATATTAACACAGAGTTACAAATTAAGGTACAATATTAATGTTGGACTTGTACATACCTGATTTTAATAAATGACTATTATTGTCATCAATCATGTTAAATAATTTAAATTTAAATTTAAATTTTTTATTACATTTCTCGAAAAAAAAAAAATTAATGACAATAAAATTATTCGATAATCACAGTTTCGAGACATGTCCTATTTTTAGTTTATTTTTTTTGCAAAATGAAATTTGTGAAAAATTTTAATGCAGATGAATGAATGAAAAATTCATTTCTTATATCTTTTCTTGTTTTTTAAAATTTAAAAATGAAATTTTTTGTTTGTTTTGTTTTCAGATGATAACCAAAAGTCAAATCCTGGTGGTGGGGTTGAAAGTATTTTTTGAAACTGTTCAATTAATTGTAAGAGCAATTTTATGGCTAATATTCGGTGGAAAGGGAGAAAAATTACCACCAATAAATAACAGTTTATTATTGTGTAGTGCTACATCATTGGCTCATCAGATAAGAACTAAAAAAGTGACCAGTGTTGAAGTGGTGCAATCCTTTATAAAAAGAATTCAATTAGTCAATCCAATTTTAAATTGTGTTATCGATGACAGGTTTGAAGATGCCTTAGAAGATGCAAAAAACGTTGATGAAATGATCGCATCTGGGAAATTCACGACGGAAGAATTAGAAACTCGCACTCCTTTCTTGGGAGTGCCTTTCACCACGAAAGACTGCATATCAATAAAAGGTTTATCTTGCACGGCGGGGATATACAGCAGAAAAGGAATGAAGGGTGAAAAAGATGCCGATTCCATAGCTTTAATGAAAAAAGCCGGAGGTATACCGCTGGCGGTAACCAACGTATCGGAGCTTTGCATGTGGTGGGAAAGTTTCAATCCCGTTTATGGGAGAACGAAAAATCCTTATAATACTAATCATATAGCGGGAGGTTCATCGGGCGGAGAAGGTTGCCTTCTCGCTTCCGCAGGTTCCGCAATGGGAATCGGTTCAGACATAGGAGGCTCCGTTCGTATCCCTTGTTTTTTCAACGGCGTTTTCGGGCACAAACCATCGACGGGAATGGGTTCGTTAAAGGGTCACATTCCTTTACCATCTAATACAATGCAAAAATCATATCTGGTAATAGGTCCTATGTCGAGGTTCGCATCGGACTTGTTGCCCATGTTTAAAGTCATGGCTTCGGACCACGTGGAGGAGTTGAAATTAAACGAGAAAGTCGATGTGACAAAATTAAAATATTACTACATGGAAGACGATTCGGGAAGCGTTCTAACAAGTTCCGTTGAAGAGGAAATAAAGGAAGCCGTTCGAAAAGCTGCAAAACACTTCGAACAAGTTCACAATGCAGAAACGCAACGCGTCGTTCTTAATAAATTAAAATATTCGATGGCGATATGGTTTGCAAAAATGAGAATTCCCGAGGGTTCCCAGTTACCCGTTGAGCTTTCAAACAATAAAGGAAAAGTTAATATTGTGAAAGAATTTATTAAATTTCCATTTGGATTGTCGAATCACACTCTGCCTATTCTATGCATCGGACTCATGGAAAAATTAAATCCCGAATATAACAGTCCTAAACACGTTAATTTCGTATCCATGTGTAAAGAACTTTTAGAAGAATTCCAGGTAAAAAAAAAAAGAAAAAGGGATTTTATATTTGTCGCATTTTGATTTTTAAATTTTATTTTCATTTTTTTAGAATTTATTAGGAGATGATGGAGTTTTAATTTATCCGACGCATCCCACGGCTGCTCCTTATCACAATGAACCATTATTTAAACCTATAAATGTAGGTTATACGGCTGTTTTTAACGTTTTGGGTCTACCATCTACTCATTGTCCCATGGGTTTGAATTCAAAGGGTCTTCCGATAGGAATTCAAGTCGTTGGAGCTTTAAAACAAGATAGATTGACATTAGCTGTGGCTTTAGAATTAGAAAAAGCTTTTGGAGGCTGGGTACCTCCTTCGTCTCTTTCTAACTCTTCATAAAAAATAATAATAATAATAATAATAATAAATTTTTTTTTTTTTTTTTTTTATCCGATACCGACGGATTTTATTAAACAATGTGAGTTCTTATAATAAATTATAAATTTAAAAAAGAATCAACATTTTATTAAATCAGTCTCATTTTTTTTTTTTTTTATATATATAGCAGAGATAGTATTAATCATTTTAATGTTTTTTTTTTTTTATTATTTCCATTTATATAATACAGTATTGAAGAGAAACGTTATACGTAAAAGAAGAAGAAAAAAAAAAATTTATTTATTTGTTAATCTTTTTAATAAAAAAAGAAAATAATAATTTTTATCTGAATTTTTCAGTTGGTGTAATTAATTTAAAAAAAAAAAGAAATATTGTATACGCAACAAAAACCGTTTTTATTTACTTAAAACTTTTAAATATGTAATAAAATATTTTTTCCATTCCAGGTAAATATTAATATGATAATTTATTATAGTTGAATATGAATATATAAATTGTGTTATCGATAAATGTTTTTTTTGCGTGGTTAAAATGAATCTAATCTATATTTTTTTTTCTCTCTCTCCATATTAAAAAAAAAAAATTCAATTTCTTTAATTATTTTCTACGTGCGAAATTATTTATTATTATTATTATTATAAGGATGGTAGCGGTTAAATTGAATTTATTTTATTTAATAAATAAAATAAAATTATATCAATATTAAATTTATTATAATAAAGACGCTTTTAACATAATAAATCATTCATAATTTAATAACCGGAAATCAAAAAAAAAATTATTATCGAATTTTTTTTTTCTTTTTTTTTAAGATTTGGAAAAATTTAATTTGTTTATTGACGGTGACGTCATTAAAAAAAAAAAATTAAATGATAAATATTAAAAAAAACAAATTCATATGATTTTTATTGATAAAAATTATTATCGATATATTGATATATTAATATTATGTTTACATTGTTTTATTATTATTATCAATTATTAATTGATTAATTTTTTTAAATTCAAATAATTTGATTGACACATTTTAAAGAATTTTACACACACACAC